TGTACTTTGAATCTTTGACTATTTTATCCTTTCGAGTTTCTAACTCATAAAACTTTAATCTGTATAGTTGTAGTAACATTGAACCACAAGATGCATTTTGAAGTTTTCTGGTAGCATTTTCATTCGATTTTCGCGTACTAAATGTGCGCTCGACGTAAGTTGATACAAGTGGAGCCCAATTTAAATATGGAACGTTTGAAACGTTCATATTATCAGGAATAAGGGCGTTTTCCTCGTCCTTTACAATTTTATCCACACCCCTTATTGTCTCCAAGCCTACGTTAGCTGAGAAAACGGCTTTGAATTTTTCCAACACCAATTTGGCAAGAGGTCCCTGCGCTTCTACAAGCCGCATGGGCATGTGTATATTTTTTAATCTTAAAAAAAAATTGTAAATGCTATAATCACTTTTTTAAAGGTAAAAAGGCAAAAAAGGCAAATATCTTAAAAAAGGCAAAACAAGGCAAATAACTTAAAAAAGGCAAAAAAAGGCAACATCAAATGTGGATATATGGAATCAGGGACAGCTAAATCGTGGACATTCTTAATCGAATATACTCTATCTCTTTACCAGAAAAAAAGGCAATTTCCATAAAATCCGTTCCCTGGTCATGACAGTATTGTCCGGTGTAAACCCTAAGTAAGAGAATACGGATATTTCAGAACTTTTCCGTCAACTAACATAACCGGAATTACGCGAGGAATACGTCTTGGCTACCGCCTTGCTCCAGCTCAGCTCCAGCTAAAATCCTTTGCTCCTTAGCTCCTTTGCCCCACTCCGCTCCGAAGACCTGAATGAAAGCATCATTGAAGCATAAACTTATTTGTGATAACGCAGGATGTAGTCATGAAGAGGTAGGTAAAAAAATTTCCAAATTCTTGGAGCACCTTGTTAGAGTTTATAGACAGATACAATACTCGCTCTACTGCTGCTGGTGCCGCGTTTCGCTCATCCGTCCCGAGGCTGAAAATTTTCTGCCGAAAAGTTATTGGAACAAACAAACAACACCTATGTGAAGTTACCATGCACTTGGCCATCCCGAAATATGCAGCTAAGCGTACTAAATAATGGTGAAATTAATTGCATAAACAAATAGATTCTCACCGTGCATTAAACCACTAAAAGCTCGTTATTTATAAAATGATGCTCCAACATAGTATTTAAAATTAATTTTTTAATAGCTTTTGAAATATATATACTTTTTTGAGTAAAAAACAACTTTTTAATTTCTTCAACGAATATGGTAGCTTCAATAGTTGTGTTCCTTATCTCCCAGAAAAAGGCAGAAAAAGTCCGAAGTAGTCAGATTTAGTCCAAAAAGCGTTCCTTAACTCGAAAATGACAGCAAAAATGAGAGAGCAACACTCAGTGAGAGTGACTCTCTTCAGTCAGAAGTAGTCACCAGAGTGTCCAGATTTAGCGATTTCGCGCCAATTTGGCGATTTTTTTTTTGATATTTGCGCGTAAAAATTTAGGAAATCGCCATTGGCGATTTTTGGCGATTTTTTCCCTTCAAATAAATTTTTCCCAATTATAGTAATATACAAAATTTAGTTTTCCGCGATAATTTTACAGAAGAGGCTAATGAACTGCGTGATAAACTTGACTTAAGAAGCATATTAAAAGACACAAAAATTTTTAATCACCCTAATCGAAGAACTTTTTAAACGATTACCTAGTCAATTAAATACTTTTAAAAAAGCTTAGATTTTGGCACCAGAAAGGTGTGTGAATCAGAAGAGGGCGAGTTTCAGGGACGTGCCAATTCACTATTTGACTTTGAAGGAAAGAAAAGCAGCGGAAACTGAATATTTAAATCATTTAACTTTCCCATGGAATAACTTTTCTCAGAACCATTCCATCCGACTCTGAAGAATTTTGGATAATTGCTTACGGAGTGAAAACCGCAACAGGCAATAAAATGTTTGGAAATATAAGTAAATTCATATTATTATCCTTGCGGCACTCACATGCTTTGTTGAGCGCGTTTTTTTTCGTAATGAATTCAACAAAAAATCGACTGCTAAGTGGAAGATCGACCTATCTCGGCAGGCAGCTCGAATACGCTTATCTCAAAAAGTTTTCAAGAACGCCCTATTTCAGAATTCGTTTCAAAAACGCCCTATCTCAGCTGCCGATTCAAAAACGTCTTATATCAGCACATTTTCAATACATTTTGAAGTGAGATAGGGCGTTCTGCAACCAAATTCTGAGATAGGGTGTTTTTCAATAAAATTCTGAAATAGGGCGTTCTTAAAAAGTTTTTTGAGATAGGGCGTTTTTGAACTGGCTGCCGAGATAGGTCGATCTTCCACTCAGCTGTCGAAATAAGATTCGAAATAGGATGAGATTGGAAAGCCTTAATTCAATAGTTCGAATAAAGTGTTATATGAAAGTTAATAATAGCTAATAGTTTCTGCTGCAAAACGTTTCCAACATCAAACAGTTATCAAGGTTGAATAGCTCAATAAGTATATGACAACAACACAAATGTAAATGATTCAGACACTATAGGTGATTTTGAAGAAATTGTGGAAATAGTTGATCTCGCCTTATTATAGGTTTTTATTTTATTTTTAGCGCCGAGCGCTTAAAGGCGGATTGTGCGATTAATCAATTAATATGAGTTATAATAAATTTAACAATTGCGCAGTCCTATTGCAAAATGTGTTAAAGGAAATTGTTTGTGCATCACTATTATATAAGTTATTTGTGTTATTTATTATTACCCTCTAAAGGTATTATATTCGTTTTTGGTTTTAAAAACTATATTATCACGAGATCTCATTTTTAAAATAAAATATTTGCTAAATCGATTTCATGAATTAAAAAAAAAAAAATGGCGATTTTTGGCAGAAGTCAGATTTAGTCAGGAGAGTACTTGCAGACAAAATCTTGAAAAGTGTCAAACTCAACTGAACTTAAATTAAGGGAAATTAAAGAATCCACAAAAAGTGAGAATAATATAAAAAGTGAATTGAAATTGGAAGGAAGCAAAAAATAATTGATATAGTAAGTGTTTATTATGATTGTGCTTGTGTGAATGTGTTTTGTACATACCCTGCAAAAAATAGGACTAATCCGGGATGACTCCGGGAGCAATCGCAAAGGAGCATGCGACTAATACCACTTTTGATCTCTTTATATGGAATGAACTGATCGCTTTTGTTCGAGCATGTCCTATGAAGAGACTAATTGTTCACCTTTATACCCGAANTATGACAACAACACAAATGTAAATGATTCAGACACTATAGGTGATTTTGAAGAAATTGTGGAAATAGTTGATCTCGCCTTATTATAGGTTTTTATTTTATTTTTAGCGCCGAGCGCTTAAAGGCGGATTGTGCGATTAATCAATTAATATGAGTTATAATAAATTTAACAATTGCGCAGTCCTATTGCAAAATGTGTTAAAGGAAATTGTTTGTGCATCACTATTATATAAGTTATTTGTGTTATTTATTATTACCCTCTAAAGGTATTATATTCGTTTTTGGTTTTAAAAACTATA